AGTGTTGACGTCACACCTCAAAGAAGCCACGTGACAAGCTTCACTGGGTCAGTCTACTGAGGAAGACCAGAGTGACTGGTCGAAAGCTCTAGGTGAGAGAACTTTTTGTGGTGGACCAAAAGTTTTAACTTTAAACAACTTTACTGCTAATTTATGATAATAATAATCATAATTGCTATCTATATATGATACTCATTTGCATAGTAGTCATTAGCATATTTGTGACTCGTTACATGCAGGTACTACGCGTCCTACATGGCCTACAACTTCCCGGCAACCATGAACAAGTTGAACGTCTACGTCATGTCCGGAGATCAGCTGGGAGACGCACTGTGGAGCATCAAGGATGGAGACCTGTGGACAAAAGCTCAGATCAACATCAACACACCAAGGGACTTCCAGGTAGGGGGAATGAATGGATGGATGGATGAGGCAGAGCAAAACAACATATTTTCCTTATGTGGAGGCAGATAATTATGTTTACCGAAGGAAAACGTATTGTTTTGCTCTGTTTCTTCCTCTTCTTCTTCTCCAAACGGTGACCTATGACCTGAACAATGACATGATTTGTTTACATCTGTCACCATGGTGACTGGTGTTGGGTTACATAATGTTGCAATTTCATAGCCTGCTCTGCTCCTGTCACCATATACTAGTAGTACATGTATGTGAATGTGTTTGAGTAAGAATTGACAAAGCAGACCATGTCCAAAGGTAAACATTTACTTTGTTACATTTTTTATGCATTTACTTTGCTAATGTTACTTCTCTAGTTTCTCTTAATTCCCGCATATTTGACCTTCACAGATTATATTTGAGGCGGAGGTGAGGTCAGAGTTCAAGGGCAGCATCGCTCTGGATGACATCAGCATCGCTGGGGGGTCATGCGAAGGTCAGGGTTGAACTGTTGTTAAGTTCTATCACTTCATTAAGTTTTATCACTTTATGGCCTGCATGGGGGGTCCCGACAAAATGCTCTACGCTAAATTTTGAGAGCCAGCTACGTATTACGCTACAGTAGCAATTACACTTTACGATAAATTCCAAGTGGCTAGAACGCATTACGTAGGATTAAAATGGCGAATACGCTCTATGCAAAATGCTCCAATATTACAATCTACAATCTGAATTAGAGCGGTCCGTCTACGCTCTACGTAGAATTAAAACGGACGATTACGCTCTACGGAAAAGGGAATGCGGGCCCCCAATCATGTTTTCTTCTCGTTGTGCCCACAGAAAGTTGTAAGGACTCGTTCTACGGCTGTTGTATGGACGGAATCACGTCAGCAGCAGGACCGAACTATCAGGGCTGCCGGGCAGAACTACAGAATCTCATCCAAATTCCAGAGGACTCCACAAAGATAGAGCAGTTCCCGGGAAAAGGTTTGTTTGTTTGTTTGTTTGTTTTGGTGTTTGTTTTTGAGCTGAAGAATCTCATCGAAATTCCAGAGGACTCCACAAAAATAATAAGAGCAGTTTGAAAAGGTTTGTTTGTCAGTTTTTTTGTTTGTGTGTTTGGTGCACGTTTTCTCTTTGATATGATCTTTCATTAGAATATAGAATACATTCTAAAATGGAAAACTGCTTCTCTGGTCTCCGAAAGCGAAAAGGAGAAGAGGCCGTCCAATTACTCTACACTAAAGGACATTAATGAGTTAAGACACTGGTCTGTATGGAAACGAACTTGTAGAAATGATGTCCAATAGAAAGTGCTGGAAGCTGAACTATGTTAATGCTTCAACTCCCTGAGTATGATTATGTATGTAACCTTGCAGCCGGTGACTCTGCTGACTGTGACTTCGAGCGGGATGTGTGCGGCTATGTACAGGCACAGGAAGATGATCTGGAGTGGGATCGGCTCAAGGGCTGGTCCCGAAACGTGCAGAACACACTGCCCAGCAGTGATCAGACCACCAAGAAAGGTAGCACAACTTATTACCTATCTGTATCTGTATAGCCGGTATAACCGCCTTTCAGCGTAACACACCAGCTTCGCAGGCACGCGGCGCGGCGGCAGCTAGCTACATTACAGCTAGCTGCCGCTACGTTATAATACACCTAACCCTTGAACATCTAACTCTAAACATTGTTTAAAGCTATCTAATGACAAAGAATGAATTCTTGAACACCTCAATCCTTCGTTGATAACTCTGGTACTTGAAGGCCGGCTATTTCTTGTTCTCTTCTGGGCTGGTATTAGGTACTTACTATAGTGATTGGGACGTCCACAAGTTTATTAGTCATTTTGTACATCATGCATAGTCTGGACATTTGTATACACAATTTCAATCCACCACTTGTTTCCTTTTCCCCCCCAGCTAACGGCTGGTTCATGGCTGTCCAGTCCCCGGTCCGGCCGTACTACCCAAAAGTCGCGCGGCTCCAGACCCCCCAGATCCGCTCCTGGTCGGGATACCCGGAAAAGTGCCTCACGTTCCACTACCACATGGCCGAGAAGTACCCAGACCACTTCCCAAGGTACGCACAACTTTCTTACAACTTTCTTACAACATTCTTACAACATTCTTACAACATTCTTCATCCATTTGAGTTTGAGAAGTATTATGTACTTTTCTTGCAAGTTAATAAAGTTAATACGTCGGTGAAGGTTAGACATCCAGGTAATACGATACGCCAAACAACAGTTACTCAAGCAACTGGATATGATTTTGGAAACGGTCAGACGTTTCAGCTACTAGTACTTTCCACTAGCTTTTGTCAGTGACTGTGAGACCAGAAGGACCTGAAGTCTCAGTCACTGACGAAAGATAGTGGATACTACCTGAAATGTCTGACGTTTTCAAAATCATATCCAGTTGCTTGAGTAACTGCTTTTTGGAAGAAAGTTAATAATGTGCCTATCTGAGTTTTAGAATTGTAAAAGTCCTTTTTTTATTCTCAACCAGAAAAGGGTCGAACCAGCTGCTTGTTTACGCCACGTCCAAACTTTACTACGACGAGCCAGTTTTCGTCGCCAGTGACGTCATGGAGGATGAGTGGGAGAAGGTTTCTGTCACCTTCTCCTCAGAGAAAGACTTCCAGGTGAGGGGATCTTAATGTCTTACAACATTCTCACAACATTCTCACAACGTTCTTACAATGATCTTACAACATTCTTACAACATCATTACAACATTATTGGAACATTATTACAAGTTGAGGGGATCTTAATATCTTACAGCATTCTTACAACAATCTTACCACATTCTCACAACATTCTTACAACACTCCTACAACATTCTTACAACATTCTTACAACATCATTACAACATCATTACATCATTACAACATCCTTACAACATCCTTACAACATTCTTACAACGTTCTTACAACATCATTACAACATCATTACAACATTCTTACAACATCATTTCAACGTTCTTACAACATCATTGCAACATCATTACAACATTCTTACAACATTCTTACAACATCATTACAACATTCTTGCAACATCATTACAACATTCTTACAACATCATTACAACATTATCACAACATTATCACAACATTATCACAACATTATCACAACATTATCACAACATTATCACAACATTATCACAACATTATCACAACATTATTACAACATTATCACAACAGGCTTACAACATTATTACAACATTATTCCCCAGATCGTGTTTGAGGCGATAATGCTGTCTGAGTATCCAGGCGACATCTCAATCGATGACGTCACCGTGGACGAGGGGTCATGTGAAGGTCAGGGTCGATTTCTTCTTCTTTCTTGAGGGTCTTCATGGGGGTGTCCTAGTAACGGTTAACGGTAAATTCAGGATGGTTGGTAACACTTAATGGTAAATTGACACGCATTTTTTTCGAACTCCACTAGGTTCAGTATCTGAATTGGTGAGAAAGAGCAATCGCTGACTAAATGTATGTGTTAACGAAGTGTGTTCGCACTAGTGTCCTCTGTGTTCCATGCCTGCCTTGGTCCCCGAGTGCGCCCACAAATGCTTGAAGAGGGTGACAGAGCGCAGAAGGCACAAGTTGAGCGCCAAAGGCGTGAGCAATTGGTAATTTATTACATCTAACAAGTTGTTTTCCCCTGTTACTTACAGACCGTCACGCCTGCAAGCGTTCGCGTTTCGGCTGTTGTCCAGACGGGCGCACGCGGAAGCTGGACAGCTCGGGCCGAGGGTGTAAGTACGTGGGAAGACTCGGGGCTGATCCGGACGGGTTTGACGAGGAAACAGAGGAAGGATACACCATCGACAAAGGTGAGGTTTTATTTTGTTTGTCCCCAACAGAATATTACAACAAAGGGTTCTACATTAACAGCCTCCAGTTTAATTCCGGACTTCCAGTTTAATTCCGGACTGGCCTCCCATATCTCAGCCACCTTACACCCTGATGGGCTAAAATTGCAAACTATAGGTAAAAATGATGTAAGAAATACGTAGCCACCATCGATTGCCCCCTGGGGAATAATCTAAATTTGCAACATTATGCATAATTATGCATAATTATGCATAATTATGCATAATGTTTTGAAGGTTATGCATAATTATGCATAATGGTCAAGGGTTATGCATAATTCTTCAAACAGTTATGCATAATTGTTCATAAGGCTTGCTAGGGTTATGCATAATTATGCATAACTGTTCTCAGGGTTATGCATAATTATGCATAACTGTTCTCAGGCTTATGCATAATTATGCATAACTGTTCTCAGGGTTATGCATAATTATGCATAATTATGCATAAGTGTTTTTAGGGTTATGCATAAATATGCATGATAGTTCGTAGTGCGTAATAATACACATGGGATTTTCCAAGTTACACCGTGGTTTTGCTGTCATATCATTGTTATGCTTGCAAAGTTAGATTGTGCCAGCCATGTTTGCAGCTGCAACAGCTCAAAGACCCTGTTTTCTCCTCATCCTCAGTCCCGTTACGTAGCAGGAAGCTTAAGCCGTCTGACCGTCCACAAAAGTCCCAATTTACATATGGGCAAAAACCTGACAGTATGGAAACTCTGTACATGCAGTACAAAAGTGCACGAAAACTGTACATCAACTTTTACCTAATAGTATGACATTGTGTAAATCTGACGACTACTCCAAGGAGCTTATAAAGAGACCCTCTCAACGGTTTCGCCCCTTAAGGTACAAAATGTAAGTGGTGGGGGTATAACTGAATTTTGACGGCAACTGATGACCATGTCACCTGGTCCTTATTTGCATTCGCCTTCATTCAAAAATATGAATTTGCCCATGAGTCAACACTGTCCAGTGAGACTTAAATAGTTTGCATTTGTCCTGGTATCTGTATCTGTATAGCCGGTATAACCGCCTTTTGGCGTAACACACCAGTTGTCTCTAACATGTGGTAAAGATGCCATCAGGAATATTTCACAGGTGTGACATTGGGCGGGATCCCAGAGTCTAGGTAACGTTAATCGCTATGATGAAGGGTGTTGCCTGTTGGTAACAGAATTCCCCCCTGAGGTGTGCCTGCAAGAATGGCTTTAGCTGCAGAGATGCTCATTCCCCAATTCTCGCATTGAACACAATATTTTTGCTCAGGTAACTGTTCAGACGCCGCTATAAGTCGTGTCTTATCCCTACGCATGACAAACTGTGGAGGAGACCGCCATGGCCTATAGGGCTTATTCACCACAGATTGTCACGTGACTCTCCCCCTGGCGTCCGCCATTTTGGGGCTATCGCTATGCAATGCTATGCAAACTCTTGGCGATAGTTGTGTATTTTGGGCCACAATCTACGTTTTGGACACTCTTCTTGTTAGTAACATTGTCCTTGGGGTTGTTCTGGCTCCGTGTCCACTTTTCATGTTGTCAAGATTGGCTTTTCAGTCTTTCTTTGCTGATCAGAAATCGGTGTGTTTAATCCTGGCGCGGCGTACGGGGCTGTACATGTACATGTAGATTGAAACGTGGGTAGCCATGAACACGGTAAAATGTTGGACTCGGAGCTACCTGTCCCTTTACTCTGTGGTAAATGTCCATGTAGAACAGGGCACTGGCAACTTGTAACACTCACCTTGTCCAGCCACAGTCGCGGCAGTGCGGACTGAGGATGGCGGCCGATGGCCCCGCATTTGTTTGTTATTATCCAGACACAGTCCGGGGCTGTTCCAAAATAGCGACCTTTTGCGTATCCCGACTACAACGTACTTGTCACCACGCAACTGCATGTCCCACAACACTCTCTACACATCCTGATACAACGCTTCCAGACTCTTAGAGGGTTTGAACCGATGTTGTGTGTAAAAACTTCGGCCCAGTACCAAATACGAAGCTAAGTCGCGTCAATGGACTCCGCTGGCGGTAGACGCCGTCTCGATCAGACTGACCAAAACTCAACAAAAACGGGTCAATCCCAACAGATTTTATTTTGTTCCAGTAACGAGAGGTATGAGTGGTGGTAAACTCTTCGTGTAATAGGACAAAGGACAGTTTACCTAACGTTTGTCGGCCATTTCAATGCTTGGAAACTCGCTGTAGGCGCTGTAGCCCCAAAATGGCGTCGCACGGGACATGAGGGGTCGTGACGTCATGATGACGTGTGGTGAATAAGCTCTATTGTATTAAAGGCACACGTGAGGTCCACAAATGTAACCTGCACGTCCATTTTGGGAGAACTTTTAATTGATTTAGATTTTTGACAATAATCCAACATGCCCAGTTTTTGTATGCTCACTTGAGCACACAGTTTTCGTATCAGGTTTTTGCCCATGTGTTACAGTAAGATCAGGTCTTTGTTGTACAACCAACAAACATGGAGAGACTTTTATGGTTGTCTCTAACATGTGAGTACCACCATTCATGAAGACTGTAATCATTCGCAAACCTATGTCGTACAGTGGAAACACACTAGAATGTGTTTCCCCTATGTTTCCATTGTTGGACAGAAGGAAACATATAGATAATCCATTACCAACTTCTCCGCCCATGGAGACACAAGGAGCTGTCACAGGATTCTGACTGGAGCAGAAAATCAGGCATAGCCAGTGACCAGTGTTAATTACTTCCCTGCAACATTTGACAGCTTGACCTCCAAAGGCCCCTAAGCTGCCCTGACTGACCTAAAACTGTCTACAGTCTGAGTTACCGATTGTTCGTTCCCCTTTTACACCTGTTATATTTTCAGAAATTGTGTTGCAATATCAGACAGACTCCAGCCCCTCGCCTACATATATACAAAATGAAACAATGTCTTCATTGTTCCAAATTTTTGCCTGTAGTTATATATATATATACAAGGAGTACAAGGGGCAGAATTTCTATCCATCATTCATAAATCAAGTACATTTGTAACTGTGTTCTATCACCAGTGTTTCTAAACCTGTATCTGGATGGGTATGCATTGCCTTGAAAGAGAATTGGTCCTTCTAGTTCCTTAGAACACACAGTAAGGGACAAAAATGATAGTCTGTATCATGTGACTTGTGTGACCACATGGTAAGGTGGTCTGTCATG